CATTCCAACCACCTAGTTTCTTTACGGTCCAGAGGTGCTTTTCTTTAGGTATACTAAGCTCTACAAAGTAAGATGTTATGTTTTTATATTTATAAATATGAGCTCCATTTAAATAAAGTTTTTACTTTAAACGGAAGCATCTTATTGAACACAAAGGGAAGATAGGAAAACTAAAAACATGAAGAGAGAGAAGAAATAACTTTTTCAGTTCAAAAATATGTACCCCCCAATAAAAATAAAAATAAAAATAAAGTGGAGTCTTAAGTAAGTCTCCTTTCTACTTACGTTTTTATTTATCTATTGCACACAGTCTGATAACAGCTCAAAATGCCTAAAGTCATTCTGGGCAAGTTGACAAGTATCCTACACATTGAAATGAGAAGTGGGAAGAAGGCCAGATTGCCTAATTGTTACTTGGGAATCTGAGGAGGTGGACAAGCCAAAATCTTTATGGGGATCCAAAGAGTACAACTTCTTCCTTAGGCAGCAGGAGAAAACAATGAGCCAGATTCTCATTCTGTGTAATTTTATAGGATTCCATTGTTTCTTTCATGTACTGCCTGAAGGGGAAGTGTATTGTTATCTGTGGGAGAGCTTCCATAATAGAGTCACAGAGGATGAGAACATAGCCTCTGGGAGATTAATGAATGATATGGCATTCAGTCTAGTATGGAACTTTCAGATAAACATTTTGGGAACCCTGTACCTAAAAGACCTATGCATTAAGGTCAGAAAGTTTTAGTGCCCAAGAGGTTATGAGACAAGCAATATCCCAAATTGATTAATTGGAGTGAGCATTGTGAAAGGGTATGATATTCACAGAAATGTGAAGATGAAACTGTCACATGAAGTCTTAAAGAACATTTAACTTAACCCCCTCTTCATTACAGATGGGAAATCAAGGCAGAAAGAAGTTAAGTGACTCGCCCAAGCCCTTGCCCAAGATAATATAGAGTTAATGACAAAGTCAAAGCTAGGCTCTCTCTAGTTCCAGGAAAATAGTACTTTTTCAACTGGGTCTCATTATGCGGGAGGAATATCTATAGATATGTATTCTTAGGAAGTCCTAGAAAAAGCTTAGTAAAAAACTTTTTACAACTTTATTGACGTATATTTACATATTGTAAAATTCATTTCAAGTACACAATTCAATGAATTTTAGTAAATTTACTGAGTTTTGCAACTATAAGTATAAATCAGTTTTAGAACATTTTCATCACTCAATAATACCTCTCATGCTGATTTACAACAATTTCAGTTCCCCACCCCCACCCCCAATCCCAGGAAGCCATTTATTTGCTTTTACTGGACATTTTGTATAAACGAAATCATACAATATATGGTTTCTTGTATCTGGACTTTCTTTACTTGGCATGTATCAGTAAATTCCTTTTCATTGCTATATAATCTAGGCTAAGCTATGTATGACTATATCATAGTTTGTCTATACATTCAATAGATGGACATTTAAATTACAATTTTTGGTAAAAAGTTTTAAATTCTATGTTTTCAATTTCTTTCATTTTGATGATATAAAAATTGCAAAATTTTATATATTAGACTACCTGGATAGCTAGATGATTTTGTAACTGAACACTAACAGGCACGTTCAGTGTCATAGTTTGTATTCATGGTTTTGTTGGTGCCCAATATCACTACTGTAGTTGCTCTGGATTAATGATAGGAGGACAAAGGCAGACTTTTAATATGTAAATGATTAATGTGAATTAGGAAAAAGCCAAATGAGATCATATCTCAAAGCCAATGAGTCCTGCTACAGGAAGGACTATTTCACAGAGGAGTTCAACAAGAGAAAAGTCAAGGGAGAATTTAATCATATGTATGGCATTGAGTAGAACAGGGTGCAGAACTTCAAAAAGGGTATAACTTGTGTTACAGTGGTTATTTTTATTTTGAATTGTTTATTTGAATGTTAAGGGCTTTGCCACTTGTTATTTAATTTGTTTTGGTTGTATATAAGAGCTATAAGCATAAAAAGCTTATAGCTAGTTTTGTGCATATTTAAGTTACATTGCAATAAAAATTATGTGAACACTGAGAATCATAAGAAGTTTTTTCCTTAAAAGAAGTCTGGGATTTATTCAAGTAATATTAATATCTAGTTATATAAAACAACAGAACTAGATTTATAAATGTTCATTTTATAAATAAAGAAAAAAGTGGTGACATGACTTGTGCAAAATTATACAATCAGCTAGTGATAGAGCTGGGTCTAAAACACAGGCCCTTCACTGACATGGTTACAAAACATTTATTCCAAGTTATAGATTGCTAATCTCACTGAAACTTTGGTCAGTTTACAAATAAGACATTTCTACCAAAGACTGAATAATGATTACAATCCAAACCTTTAATTTAAGATCTAAGTTCTGGTATTCACTTAGTTGGTATGGGAAAGAAGGAAAAGACGTCTTTAGCTAAACTCAAGAGTCAAGAGGCAGAATTGTGTAAGTAGAAAGAAGTGGCAGACCAGGGTTCAATCTTCAGTTCTGCCACTAAGCCATTTATGAACTGAAGCAAGTCATAATGGTCTTAATTCCCCATTTTTAAAGTGGAGATAAGGTAAGAGGAGTAGATGACTTCTAACATTTTTTTCTTAGCTCTTCTTTTCAATAAATTTTAAATGTTAAGGACTCATCTATCACAAACTGTTGTCCCTAATCAGAATCACGTCTAACCTCTGCATTGGTTAATAATATTATTGCTATAATCTGCCCACATGCTCACCCACTCACCTACCTTATTGTTCATTATTTCTTAACATGTAACTTAAGTTCTATTCAAAAGGATATATCTACTCACTTCTGTGTATCTGTGGTATATAGCAGGAGCTCAATAAATGTTGAGTAGATGTATTACTGTGTAAATGAACATGTATAATCCTATTTTCTGTCATCCACCAAGACTTGTTTCTGGCTTCCTGATCTTATTTATGCTGTACCACTTCATGATATGTTTTTCTTCATTAGTGAAAATTAAATGGTCTTTGAATGCCAATTCAATAGTTTTTACCCCAATATCTCATTGTACATTTACACCTAAGTTGTTTCTAACATATTTGTTTCATTTCTCCAGATATACTGTTAAGTCTTTTGAAAACAGGAGGGGCATGCCTTTTACTTCATTTATTTATTCTTCTTAGTACAGCCTTAGGTATTCAAGACTTGATCTACGGTCAATTCTAAATAGGTAGTATACTGTCTTTTCAAATGCCTTCAGGAAAGTACCCTACCCCAAACTTAAATGTCCACAAGAAGCTCAGCCCCCTTGTTTTATTTCCAGAAGAGGTTTTAAGAAAGGTGGTTATCATCCTTTGCATATGCCCCTACAAAAACTTAAAGACCATTATTCAAATACAATATTCCTCTTCCTTTTGTTTCCAGTTGAAGAATTGGTTTCTCACAATTAGTTCTTTAGACCTGACTCCATTTTTCTGTACTTCAAAGTTCTAACATTATTACTCCCTTGAGTTGTACATAGAGTCTTAGACCATGAAGGAGTACAGCATTCTCATCAAGGCTCTACTACTTACTAATGTCTTTGGGTAAGTCACTGCATTTTTGGGCTTCTGTTTTCCCATATGTAAAATGGGAAATAATATCTGTTCTGCCTTACAGAGATATTATTTACATAGTAAATATGTTACTATATAAAAGAACTTTACATAATTTAAAGTTCCATGAAAATATAAAATATTATTTTCTAATTGCTACCAAAACATTAAAAGCATTTTCTTTAAAATTATAATGTAAGAACATCATTAAATAAACATTCAAAACTATATATGTGTAAAAACATTGATGGGAACTGTGCTATAGTGGTAATATTTAGTACTTTTATTCTGGTTTTTTAATTTAGTTATTATTTATTTATTTTTGGAGAAGGGAAGGGAGGGAGAGAGGGAAATATCAATGTGTGGGTTGCCTCTTGTGCACCCCTACTAGGGGACCTGGCCCACAACCCTGCAGGCATGTGTCCCAACTGGGATTCGAACCAGCAACCCTTTGGTTCGCAGGCTGGCACTCAATCCACTGAGCCACACTAGCCAGGGCACATAAGTTATTTTTGGATGATGAGATCATGGTGATTATTTTCTGTGGTTTTTTTCTGAATCTTTTTCCAATAGTAGCTATTACTTTTAGATTCTAAAGTTACTTTAAATTAAATAAAGATACTGCAAAAATTGAGTATTAAAAATAGCAGTTATATAATCTGGAGGTTTCTTTAAAAGAGCATCTCAAAATCAAATTCCTAACAACAAACCCTTTATATCAATTTGAAACTACAAGTGAATGGGTTAAGCTACCTTGAAAAGAAATAAACAGTAATTTCTATTACTCCCAGTTTGTAGTATGATAGGCCCATTAATCTGATGGATCTGGATTAGGCTGGACTGATGACAGTCCCTACCATCTATGTCCATAGTCATAAAGAAGACTAAGATATGAGACACACAAAATGAAGGTGAAAAAAATTAGAAATAAACTTAGAGCAAATAAAGATCTTAATCTAAAGATAAGATTAAAATTTCTGAGTTGATTATTAAGGTAAATTGCAGAGATGTTTAGCTAAGCTTTTCAAAGAAGAGGAAAGTTATCAAGAACTATTATCTTCCATCTTTTTTTTCTCTGAAGTGTTTCTACTAGATATCAGCATCTTTTGTCCTCAGAGAGAATCAAGATATGAAAGACTCACAACATGGAAAACCTCAGACAGGAAGCTTAATGTTAGTATTGCATGAAAGAGACCACAAACTCTTGACCTGGTTATTGTCCTCTGCCTATCCCCACTCCCTAAGAGCAACCAGCATTATTCTGGTGGATCTTGTGATATTCAGAATATATTCACAAATCAATTTCCACTTCAGCTTTTATCTTAATTTAGTGAGAATTCTGATCAGTAGTCTTTTGGTTTCACCATGTCTCATCCTAAATATCATTTTCCCTCTTTAGTATGTTCTCATCATTCCCACTCCTTACCTCTCCTGATTAGTGTCTCTGAGGGATCAAATGAGATGACCACACACTTTCCTACCTAAATTGGGACACCTGTACGAGTCAAAGAGGCAATATTAAAAATTACACTCAGACAACTGGCAAAAATTGAGACTGTAACAGGCAACCAGGACATATAATTAAGCAAATTGAGGAGATTTAAAATTAAGCAAAGTGAGGAGATTTAAGAGAGGAATGATGTGTCATGTTTTGGTTCCTGGCAAGTAGAAGCTAGGTCAGTGCTGCCATATTTTTTTTTCATATTGTCTTCAACTTGTAATCTTCAACTTGTTAGCTCATGAATGTAGGAATCATATTACTACTTGTATTGGAAATCTATAATTAAATGTGATGTATTAAATTTTCTTTGCTTTTCTTCTTTTTTTTTAATGTTAAAGGTTCACACAGGGCAGTTGTTTTGCAAAGGAGGGTGAGAATTGCAAAGGTTTTGCCCCAGGCTGTGTTGCATTAAGAATTATTACATCTGCCCTGGCTGGTGTGGCTCAGTGGGTTGAGTGCCAGCCTGCAAACAGAAAGGTTGCCGGTTCAATTCCCTGTCAGGGCACATGCCTGGCTTGTGGGCCAGATCCCTAGTTGGGGGCATGCAAGAGGCAACTGATCAATGTTTCTCACATACTTCATTGTTTTTCAGGCACATTGATATCTCTCTTCTTTTCTTTCTTCCTCCCTTCCCCTTTCTAAAAAAATAAATAAAATCTTAAAGAATTATTGCATCTGGCCACTTTCCAAGCAACCAGGTGTGAAGCAAGGGATTACAACTCTCATTTTAATATCTTTCAACATAAAAAACAATAACAATAGTCAATATGTTTATTTCAAGGCTTCCAAGAGGTAAGAGACATTAGCCACATAGAAACCACACTCTAGAAAAGCTAAAGAAAGAAATGAGCCTATTAAAATAATGTTTACAGTGATCTAAAAAGCTTATTTTAATGAAGGCTATAAAATAAAGATTGATTTGATGGTTGCAAATAACCAAAGCACCCAAAGTAGCAAACACCAGAATAATTCAATTCAGTAAGGGCTTTGATGATACCAGTCCTAATATATTCTTTGGAGAGCACACAGAACTCTAATATAGACTAAAAAAACATCTCAATATCAAATTCCTAACAACAAACCCTTTATATCAATCTGAAACTACAAGTGAATAGATTAAGCTACCTTGAAAAGAAATAAACAGTAATTTCTATCATTCCCAGTTTTGTAGTATGATAGGCCCATTAATCTGATGGATCTGGATTAGGCTGGTCTGATGGCAGTCCCTACCATCTATGTCTATAGTCATAAAGAAGACTAAGATATGAGACACACAAAATGAAGGTGAAAAAAATTGGAAATAAACTTAGAGCAAATAAGGATCTTAAACTGTAAAGAGCTATATGGTAGGGTGACAGAGATGAAAGTAGATTAAATGAACAGTTGGGACAGAAGGATCTGTTGGAAGAATTCAGGATAGGGCAACTTTTATCACAAAATGTAAAATAAACAGTAACCTTGTACAGTATTTTAAAGTGACTTGACTTTGGGTGGTGAATACACAATGCAATTTTATTAACCAATGTCATCCCGATAAATTTAATAAAATTAAAAAATAAAGTTTATAGCCCTGGCTGGCATAGCTCAGTGGATTGAGCTCGGGCTGCGAACCAAAGTGTCGCAGGTTCGATTCCCAGTCAGGGTACTTGCCTGGGTTGCAGGCCATGACCCCCAGCAGCCGGACATTGATGTTTCTCTCTCTCTCTTTCTCCCTCCCTTCCCTCTCTAAAAATAAATAAATAAAAAGAAATCTTAAAAAAAAGGAACAAGATTATTGTTTTAAAAAATAAAGTTTATGAAGTATTTATATTAATATTGTTTATTTAATATTGAGAGGGAGAAATTATTTCCATTTTATTGAAAACTGAGTCTCAGGGAAACTATGTGACATGACCAAGATCATTTGAACAGGAAATAAAATCTGAACTTAAAGACATAACACAAACCAACAAACATGCTGAGAGAACCCAGTCAAAAAACTCTGCTGCCACAAGACACTGTGGGAAACACAGAGAAGTGTAAGACTCCCCTTAAGGAATCTGTATCTGGTTGGAAAACAACATGCAAAGAGGTGAAAAGTAATGACTCATGATTTGAATAAGAATTCCAGCCAACCTATAAGACATGTCACAAGATAGCACCTGGTTAATTGCCAAATACATGAAAAATGACTAAGTTTCAAATGACTCTGAAAAGCATGTCAAAATGTGATAATATGAAAACAGCTCCATGCAGGATACAGGATTTCAGCTAGGGTTTATATAATGAGCAAGACATAGAGACTACAAGAGCATGGCCTCAGGAAAGACTGACTGTGTATCTATATCACTTTCATATCTATATCACAGAACTTCAATAACTATTATTGTATGAATGAAGACCGCTGTCTGGTTGATTGATGAACTGATAATCGATGGACTGAAAGAACACATGGAGAGGAAGTATGGAGCATTTGAGCAAGGGGAATGGGCATAAGTATGTCTGGGGGATGGTAAGTATAAACAAGTTATTGTGCTTTAGTAAGTGACTTATCCAAGATTAGTTATATAGCTACAGAAGTGTCAATGTAGGTCTCCTAACTTGCAGTGAGGTACAGAATTTCGTTCTCCTGACTTTCCAGTGAAAATGGAAAAAATATTAGCTTTAAATTTGACATACTTAAGCTAGTATCCCATTATCACCACATACCAGGGGTATACTAAATCCTGATTGTCTTCTATCCAAACTGGAATAATCTGGAGACTGTTAACCTTTGAAGCCTCTTTCCACTCTTTTTCTCCATTTAAATCAGTAAGTAAACTATGCTTTTTCCCACCTCAGAGCTTCCACACTTTATTTCCTCTGTCTGTAACATTGTTCTTCTCATAGCTCCCTTAAACTAACTCCTGTTCTCTTAGATTGTCATCATAAAAATCACACTCCCCCTAACCCCCCGACTAGGTTAAATCACCCTGCTGATCACTATGTACAACTTAAATTAGCCTCCCCCACCACAGTACTCATCTTAGTTATTACTTGTTCATTACTGCTTTCCCCCTACATTATAAACTCAATGAAGACATAATCCCTGCAAGTATGCCCACACTAGCACAAAGAACATTAAATAAAGCCTTAGAAGACTTGAGTTTTAGTGTTGGTCGATTTTATTGATTTGCTGTGTTATTTGGCAAGTTACTTAAATTCTCTAGGCTTCTTTTGTAAAAGAAGAGGAGTTGAATTTGACCAGAGTTTCTTAAACTTCACTAATGTATAGATCTCTTTTAAAGAAAAAAAATCTTAAAGACCTGCCAAGGTTATGTCCCTCAGACTCCTCAGTGATCCTGTAACCCTAGGTTGAGAAAACCAATATAAGAAACCACTAAAATGTCCTTGCATTGTGAAATTTGGGCTTTATCGTGATCTTTTAGATTACTATTAATATAAAACACATTATTTTTAAATTCTAGAACTCTCAGAACCTAACAGTATATTTGTGGATCCCCTAAGAATTTGTGGATCCCAGTTTGAGAAACAGATGGTCTCTTCCAGGTCTAAAGTTCCATCATCCTAAGAAGATGGATATTTATTTTCCAGAATACCTCTAATGACTCATAATGATTCATATCATAATGAATCATGGGCTCATTAAACTGAGATTTGGGAGAGAATACAAGGAATTCCATAGCATCAAGACACCCAGAAAAATGATTTCATATGAAGAGAGATATTCTCTGGTACTGATTTTAGCAACAAGATGAAAAGCATTTGACCTTACGTCAATGTATACGGTAATGAAATGCTCACAGAAAGCATTCCTTGTATGTGAGAAGTATGTGAGAACAGGAATTAAAAAGTGAGAGAGGAATAATAAAAAGGCAAAAAGCAAACAGCTCAATTAAAAATGGTCAAAAGACTTGAACAGACATTTCTCCAAGGACATAGAGATGTTCAGTAAGCCCATGAAAAGAAGCTCAACATCATGAGTTATTAGAAAAATCAAATCAAAACCACAATGAGACACCACTTCACACCTACTAGGATGGCTATACCATGATCCCACTTACATGAAGTAACTGGAATAGGCAAATTCATAGACACAGAAAGTAGTACAGAGATAACCACAGGGTAGGTGATCAGGAGTTGGTTAACGGGCACAGAGTTCTTGTTTGGGGTGATGAAAGGGTTTTGGATATAGATAGCGCTGATGGTTGCACAGCATTTTGAATGTAATTAATGTCACTGAATGCTTAAAAATAGTTAAGATGGCAAATTTTATGTTGCATATATTTTCCCACAATAAAAAAATTAGAGAAGATATAGTTTGGGGCATCTAAATTGCTAACCTGTTAATAACCTAATAAAGATATAAAATATATAATACATTGTTTTAATAGGCAAACCTGTTCTACAATAAGAAATCTCAAGAATTAACAGTAATAAGTCATTGACTAAACACCTATTCTGTTTATTTTGGAATTATGGAGGTCCCTATAACTGGTTCATACCTATCAAGCAGTACAACTCTAATTCCATGGCTCAAGTTAATTATTAATCATCCTTAGTGATTAATGTTAAAGGCCTAAACGATCAATGAAAACAGTTGAGCTACAAATCTAAATATTCTGATTTCTTCTTATTACTTTTTATCCACTTCTAGTGGAGGGAATAAGAAGTGATTAAATGACTATCAGACTCAAGGACAGAAAAGTCAGAGCACAGTGGTTCTACAGAGTAGATTCTAAAAGCAGAACTTAATACTATTTCTTTCCATTTTTACCTTACAGTACATAGGCTTTGCAAGGGAGACAGAGCTTTGCCAATGTCATTTAGATACCAAAGATTTGTTTTTATTTGTTTAATTTGTTTGCATTGTTTCTCAACTTGATGAGTGATTCTAACAGAAACAAATGCCATTTGTTTCTGAGGCTGAGAAACCTTGGAATTTTAACACCTCTTTTGTGACATGAATATTTGTTTCAAAGGACTTTGCCAAATGTAACTTAAGTGTACTGTGG